CATCAAAATTTCCCGCCACGCCACAGACACGCCCCCTCAACACAGTCAACACATATCATCCTGAACTTATCTGGATTGTCTGGAGTCGACTGGAAGTCGTTCTGATCAATTCACTCGGAGGGGTTTGTTAAAATAGAAGCCCTGAAATTGCCGTAAATGCGGCACAGTTTGACATTCGATTCAAAATAGCCGACTTTGACGGCACACCACGTACAGTCACAAATAGCAATATTTTTTGACAGTTTTGACTAATTTTAATTAAAAGTAGATCAGATAAATTCCCTAGTAGTAGGTGGTTCAAATACGCGTTAAATTGCAGAAAATCCCCAGGAAATTCAAAATGGCTGACCTTGACGGCACACCATGGAAACGCCCTTCAACGCAAAGTCACAAATAGCACAACTTTTTTTCACCAATGTTTTTTGACTATACTGACCAATTTTGAAGTAGATCCCATAAATTCTCTAGGAGGAGTTTATTCAAATAGGGCGGGACTCTTATCAAACGTGTGAAATTTCTTTGAGACTGGACCATGTATGCTGAACAACTTTCTGTTTCATAGAAAAACGTATAATTTTGGCACCACACCATGAGCACGTCGTTTGACGCACAGTCAGTGAATGTCTATAGATTGCAGTTTCCAAATGTGAAGTCGATCCCATCAATTTTCTAGGAGGAGTCATTTAAATTACAACGCGAAAAATGGCTGCTAAATCCAAAATGGCCTACTTCTTGTTGGGTTTGGGATATGGCTCTAAGAGGATTTTTTTTACGTCAGGATATGATCTAAATGTGTACCACTTTTCATACTCATAGGTGAAACGTGCCTTTGGGGCTGCTCAATAGGGGGCGCTGTCCGCGCCATTTTTCCGTGCATATGTCTGAGATCCATAAATCCACCAAGTCTCGCCACGACTGACCTGTGCACAGAAACTTTGTACAAAATTCGAACATTTACGTATTGTCTTGGTCCCGCACACGGGCGTTGCAAAATGGCTTAGCCACGCCCTCCAGAATCAGCCCCCAAGACACGTATGACTGACATGTACAAAAATGTACATATGTGTATCATGATCGGACAAGCAAGAAAGCCTCTTGGACCCATAACCCAAACCCAACAGGAAGGCAGCCATTTTGGATTTCGTGGTCATTTTCTTAGATTTTTTAGATCCTTAAGATGTTGATGATGTGTTATGAATCTGGTGACTTTACATTCAACAGTATGTCCTGAGGTGGAATTTCAATGTGTCTCCATCAACAAAGTTGTATTTTCAGTGTATTTTATCCAATCTGCTCCAAACTTCAAATATTTGATAGGAGTCCTACCCTAGAACACGTCTACATGACAATATTCAGATATACTCGTATCGCCCCCTACTCGGAAGCAAGCGCTGCATGGCGATTTTGATCTAATTTATGTGAAATTTTGTTGTGGTCCACACGTATTACGCTGGCACGTGACCCAGCCGCAGCACACCCCAACGCGCACAGAGTGCAAGGGGCCGTTTATGACTGCTTGCAGTTTTAATGTATTGATGTAATCCACACAAATTATGCACGGACAGGGAAAATAAACGCTCAAAAAAATTTTTTTTTTTAATGCAATGAGAACTACTCACCTGCATTATTAGAGAAAATACAAGCTGAGGTATTAGATCAGGACTCGGTATCAGCAGATATTAAATGGGAATAGGGGGCAAAAAAAAAATCAACTACTAATTTTCTGGTATTATGACATCCCTAGTCCGCAGGTGCAGAGAGAAGTGGGGCTGCCGTCTCAGCCAGCAGCCAAGTTTACAAGAATTTTCCAGATTTGAAGATATGTGGCAAACTAAGAATCAGAAAACTTTTGTTTTAGGTTGTAACAATTAGCTATTAGTCAAGCTATGCTTCTCTTGTGTAAACCTTGGCGGAGGTAGACAATAGACTGCCAACAGAGCAGATTGCTTCTCTACTTGTTTATGCTATTTGAACAGGTGTATTGATAAAGTGTTGCCCATTTAATACCAGGTTTCTGTTGCATCCCTTAATAAAATTATTTTATTGATCACATTTCAGGCAGTATTTTGCAATGTGTTCATATCGCGATGATGAGGAAAATATGATTAACAGTCAGCCTCATCTTGAAGGCAGGTTAAACAATCCACAGATTACAATCCAACTGCACTTTGGTTCTACAAGGTGCTTTTTCGGTAGCTTTTGTCAAGAACTGAAAAAGAATGCCCAGCTTGAAACACAGGTTTAACCCTACTAAATGCTGTTTCGTTTTTCTTGTGAGTACACACCATCTCTGTTTCACCAGACCAACTGACCTTCTTCTCAATTCCAGTGAAGAACTGGAACATGGTGATGTTGGCTGGAGGCTTGGACATGCCCAGCGCCATGCAGATGCCCTTCAGCTCCTGGAAAGCGGGACTTCCTGACTCTTGAGCTTTCTTCTCAGGCTTATTAACCAGGATCATCCTCGATGCCTCTAACTCAGACACCAGAAAGGCTAAGATAAAAATTGGATTTGGTTAAATTTGCTCTTACAGGATGCTTAGGTTTTCAGTGCTTCTTCAAAATCTGGCTGAAACAGTTGCCTTGTGACAAATAAATAACAAAAAAGTCACCAGGAAATTAATTAAGGCTTATGAACTTCAGCTGTGTTTGCTAAGACATACAGGAAATCTACCCCTCATAGACCATGTTAGTGCCAAACATTTTGACGTCATAGCAGGAAATCACAAGTGTAACTGTCTGTCCTGCCTGTGTTTTGTCTTCAATTATATAATAATGTAGCCGGCAGGACATAAATGAGTAGTCGGCTGTTTGGCCGACAGCCGGTGCTAATGGACAGCTGCTCAAAAGACCTTTTTCAAAGCAGCCATTTTGACATCAAATAGTAGGGTAAACACAGTTACCAATAATTCTGATCAAGGTTCTATTCGCATAATTAATTGAAATATTATCAAAATTGCAATATGGCCAAGTGCAATATTCAAATCGCAGAAGCTGAAATTTTTTCATAGGTAAAATATGTCAAAAAAAGAACAAGATAAATTACTGTAGAATGCCCTGGCCTACAAATCTTGTTCTCCAGATTTTAAAAAACATGTTTGGTACATACTCCTAAAAAATGTACATTATCATGATTTTAATATTTTTTTTCTGTGAAAATTTAAATTATGATGCAATAATTATTATTCCCACCCTAATAATGAATCCCATCGCAATGGCAGTATCTGTCAAAATAATCGTAATATGATTTTCTTTTTTTTTACTATATCATCATTGTTTGACCTTAATGGAGCAGAACCTTAATTAGTATCATTAGTATGGTAACACCTATGTTTACCTTTATATTTATTGTCAAAACTGCCACTGTGAAAAACATTGTTATATTACAGTTGCGACATAGATGAACACCCTAAACAATCTGTCAGAGTAATGCTATTGGAATATTGTACTAAACTGGCTGATGCTAAAATAATAACTTTTCGATTTTCAAAGTAGAGCATCAATGTTTCTAAACAGGACGAAAGCTTGAATTTGTCTGTTGCATGTGCTTTGAGTGAAGAAAACTGGAAGAGGGTGTGGATATTTATTGAACTGATATGTAATGGGACCATAACAATACAAATGGTTGCGCTCTTTATAGAGGTGTTCAGGCTTGATGTTGGCAGTGTAGGTGGATTAATTATTAAAATTAAGGCCACTGAGGCCTGATTAGAACTCTTTTCAGGTATATGTGGCACTGTGTTAGATCTCCCTCAGTCTCCTGTTACTTTTGTGTTTGTGTGGGTTTGTAGAGCTGTGCAGGATTTAGTGTCATCTAGCGACAAAGTTGCAGATTGCAACTAACTCAACACCTCTCACATCTGTATTTGACGACCTGGGAATGGTGTAAGAGAAACTACATTGACCGCAAAATTTGCGGAACACACAAAATAACCTATCTACAGCCAGTGTTTGGTTTGTCCGTCCTGGGCTACTGTGGAAACAGGATGATTCAACATGCCGGACTCCATGGAAGGTGACCAGCAGCATCTGTAGATAAAAACAGCTCATAACGAAAACACAACATATCATAAATTCCGTTGATAATGCACTAATGAAAACTATGTAAAAAATAAATGTGATTTTTCATTTCTGCCAATAAACCCTCTGAAATGTTAAACACTGGACCTTCAAGAAAATAACTCTAGTGGTGGCTGCATGCAATGTCAACACCCTGTACCGGAAAGCACTTTACAATATATGACACTTTATCACAGGTGGGTGTGGTACAGCAGTCCACATAAATTGCAATAGACTTTAACCTTTCAGCACACAGGTCAATGCAGCAATGCTTTTCTTCAATACAAGATTTAGGGTTAAGTTGCTCTTTAAAATTGAGTCTTAATATCATACTAAGGAGAAGCAGACAGTCGGTCCTGTTGAGAAGCCTCTGGGTGATGTCTCCGCTGATGAGGACAGAGTATGGACAGGCGAGCTCTGACAGCAAACCGCTCATCTCCAGCTGGAAACTCTCTGCTTCGCTCGGACCTGGGAGGGATAGAAGCAAACAAACACACTAAAAAAGACAGACAAATAATGTGGCTAAACTCACACATACCGAGTCTACGCAATATAGCCAGTTAGCTTTATTAATAGCAACTTGGCCATCAAACAAAAACTACTGAATTTGCTGCAGTGAAATGTCCAAATGTAGATTTTTTCCCCCTTTTCTACCATTAGTCAAAAGCTTGGTAATCTAACTTAATGACTTGAACCCAAACCAAAATGTCATTTAAAATAAATTAGGTACACATTTTATTTTTAATTTCTTCCCATTCCCATCAACCTTCAACAAGCAAGAAAAGGGAAATCAAACTCTAGAAGTGTCTATTTAATCTGTTCTCTTGATTCAGAATCAGAATCGTGGTTTATTGCCAAGTAAGTTTTTACACATACATATACTATATTCTGCATCAGGAGCAACTTGACAGTGATATATTGTGTCTTACAGTTTGTGGCATGGACATTTTCCTCCAGCTTGCAGTAGAGTTTAAGCTCTGAGACGATCCAGGCACAGAGCTTAGTATACTCTGGTGAAGCTGCTCCCCTGCTCACAGCAGAATCCAGAGCTCCTTCCTCCAACAGAGGGCCTTGATACCTACAGTGACACACACATATCTTATCTAAACATCATAAAACCATATCCAATAGGAGCCACAACTCATTCTTCCCCTTATCATTTTGTAACTTTGTTTTGAAAGGTTTGTTATTATTATCAGTATAGCATGGCATGATGATAAGCAATACTGAAGTTTAGTTTAGTGAGTAGAGCCCAGTTTGACAACCAAGACTTGTCGTCATGTGATAAACCAACTTAAAAATTTAAATCTGGTTATTTAATTAAGTCTTGCTTATTGCGAAACGTAATGTTACATGCCAAGAAGAAATTGGCTCACGACTTCAAAAAACTTCTGAGAAGCATATTTTCAGCATGTGAGTAATTAACCAAGGAACAAAGAATAAATATGAATCATGTATTTTAGAAAGAAGGGCTAGAATTAGTTAATAGACATCAATTTGTTGTAGCTACATGAATCATGACGAAAGCAGCTTGTGCTGACGCAGATTGTGGCAGAACATATATACAATTATTCGCTAGATCTATCTATTCCGACGTCCACATAGATTGCTATGATGCACATACATAGTATAACATGAAAAAATCACCATCACACTAACGTTTAATTATCTACAACAGAAAGTTGGCCGTTTTGCTAAATCAAGCTACACTGTAATGCTCTGGCTAAAATAGGAAAGAGAGAAAGGGCTGGTCATTGGAATGTCAGCTTTTGCACATAATCTTTATACAGCGACATATAGCGTATTATAACTTACCCTAAGTCTTCGAGAGATACGAGAATATCATTCTCCATCCCAATAATCTATTGGTATGCTATAAAATAAGGCTTTCACATCAGCCAACTCAGCTGATACACGTTTTGCTTCTATTACTTCTTCTTTGGATTTATGGTGGTTGGCAAACCAGTTTAGCGATGCTTTACCGCCACCTACCAGACTCCAATGCGGAGCAGGAGAAATACAGGAAAAAAAAAATTATCTGCTTGGGTTGTACCTAAGTAAAGTCTTGTAGGCAGACTTTTAATTGGGCTTCATGTATGTTAGCTTAAGGAAATATTGTTATGTGCCTTAAAGCCAAACAGTTAATGATGTTGTTAAATGTTAAAAGATCTGCTTTTATTAGTGTAGAATATTAGTATTGCAATATAAGCAGTGTGACACAACTAAATAAATAACATTACACATTGTGGAGGGGCTAAACTTACTACGTCAACATTGTTTTTTTGCAAAGCCCATGAACTAGAAGTAATAATAACTGCACATTAGCTGTAAACTATTCAAGTGAAGAGTGAATCTGATTCGGATACATGTCTAACATTGACTGAGAATGTAAACAATTTCAGCAGTACGTGATTTTATCAAGTTTAGTCCTCAAAACAGATAAAGTAATTATTGTAGGTCATTTTAATATTCATGTGGAT